CTGCCTCACATCTCATACCTGCCCAGGGAAGCCGATGCTTCGGGATGATTCTGGAGGCATGGGCCCCAGAGGCCCCCCAGCCACAGTCTCCTGGATGATCACACGAGCTTTCGCTTCATGAAGCCTGTTTTTCACTGGACCGTTTAGAAAGAACCCCGTTTTACAAGATGAAACAGACCACGATCGGTGGCATCAAGGACCACTTGTGCTGTTGTAGATTTCACGTTGACTAGCTAAATCTAGGTCAGCTGCTCCTCGGGAGGAATGGCAGTCCGGGGCTCATGGGGCGTTTCCTCCACTGCCCTGTTGAGCTGCTGAGTCGGCATTGGTGGACGAAGGAAAGCGGACTGCTGTGTTTTGTCACTACTTAATAAATATGAACTTAAACACGTTACAGTAAAGTCTCAAATCGTCTTTAACCAGACAACCGGAGCTCCGGTCTGTCTCACAAAGCAAGCCAGGATCACAGTTAAATAGCTAAGAGTCTTCAGACATTCGACCTCAGTTTGTTTGCCATTTTAAGAGGGTTGGCTTCAGCTGCTACTGAAAATGTTCTATTGGCTAAATTACTAGGTCTCTTCAAAACCAACTGGATGACAACTGGTGTGGTTGTCATATCAAAGCTGGAATTGAAAATGGATGTGAAATATTTTGCCTGGAGTTGTCTTAACATAATAAAAATGAATAAAAAAATGCCCAAGCCCAATGCTTCCACGTCACATTCTGCCTGAGCACCCTGTCGGGTTTCCAGGGCTGTCGGGCTGGGTGGTAGCCAGGCTCCTTCTCGTAGCAGAGAAGGGCTCCTGGAGTGGGATGGGGAGACGTGTGCACATCACGCTGTGAAGGTGACACCGGTCACCTCCACACTCTACACCTGACCTGTTTTGCCACCAGGGGCCTCTGGAGGCAAAGAACCCTGCTCCTCTTCCAAGTGAGCGGAGCTGCGAGCAGAGGCCACGTCAACTCTCCAAGGGAAAGGCTGGTGTGGGTGTCAGCCAAAGAAATGATTGATCGAGGCAGGTTGGGCCATGGTGCGGAGAGAGAGAGAGACCCCCCCTGTCCGCATTCTCTCTGCCCACCTCTGCGCACGCTCCATCCCAGCCCCGCGACCTCATGGCTTTGCCAGTGTTCATGTTACCGCCTGCCCAGCCTCTACTATGATTCCGGAAAGGGCAGAAGGCCGGCTTGGTGGTGTCAGCCAGGTGATTCCCTGTCACTCCACTGTACTACAAGGGCGACTTCTACCTTCAGAGACTGCCCCTCCAAGCCTTTGCTTTGCTTGATGTCCTACAACCAAGAAGTTACAAAGTACCAGTGTATTAGGAGGCCACAGGTCATGGTGAAGCAAGTCCTGCCCGCTAGGGTGCTGAAGGCCAGCAGGGAGAGCTTAATGCACGGCCCACCGTAAGCCCAGGACTAAGCACTCACACCTGTGATTTGATGTCAGAGCAGCATACTGGGATAACTGGCAAAGCCGCCCGAGTCACACGATGGACGAGGCTCTAGGGCAACATGGTAGTTCCTGGCAAGAGCCTAGTGACAGGAGTGAGTCTCCGTACACAAACTGGATTTCCCGGGGGCAATGAGGTCAGGCCAGTTGGGCTCTGGAACCTTCTAGCTTGGAGTGGCCTAAGCACATCAACACAAAGATGGCAAGTGAGAGCAGGGAGAGATGCTCAACACGCACACGTCTGTAGAGAAGTTCGATTCTGACGTGTCACCACCCACCTGTTAGAACTGGTAAGGACGCGGAGCCAAAGCTCTCTCGGCCTGCACTGGTCGGGGTACAAACCTAGGCCCCCACACTTTGGAAGTCAGCCTGGCAGTTTCCTACAGGGCTAAGCATAGGCTTACCGGTACTTGAGCCAGGAAAAGATGCCGCACATTGCTAACCAGCGTGGGGTTTACCACCCTGACGTGGTAGTGGAAAAGGCTCAACGCTCAGTAAAATGACCCGTGGCTGCAGGGCTCGCAGCGGGGTTAGGGCAGTGTAACTTGTGTGTGACACACGAGGAGTCGACACAGGGTGTGCCTTTCTCACACCCCTCACGACGGCAACAGAGGGAGCCAGTGCCAACTGTGGGTGCTAGTTCATCATGGTGCACCCAGACCGGTTCCCTTGTGACACGCGAGCCGCGAGAATGCAGGGGGCGAACAACAGAGGAAGCCAGACGCGGCCTAACAGTCTGCTAAGAACCAGAGCTCCTCCATGTTTGCCCCAGAACGGACTTTGTCAAGTTCTGCCCCAAGGCTCAGCCTCTAAAAAGTGCTACAGACAGAAGAGAGTGTGCCATCGACCAACCAACCCAGGGTGGGGATGCAAGAACAGTGCCGCCTGGGGCCACCTGGAGCCACTTCTAGGAACCCGATGGCCCAGAATGACCACAAACACCAGGGAACAGTTGCCTGTACCTTTCCAACCCCCCTTAGCCTTTTACCCGGGGGCTGGCGCACGTTACGGCCTCAGCCGGTCTGCACCAAGACAGGTAATCAGCTTTGCTGTTTGCAACTCACCTGGCCTCGTGAATAAACCGGGTCGCTTCTCTGAAGGTTTCAGACGCTGTGGGGGTGGGGGGGACTTGAGCTCCGCAAAGGCTTGTGGAAGTTTGCTCTGACGGGAAGCAGGATGCTGATCCAGGACACGGCCGCCGTGCCGCCCCAGCAGACGCTCTCCCGATGAAGCCGCCTGCCCGCAAAGTGAGAAACACCAGGTGCAGCACTCACAATTAGAGGGAAACCAAAAGAAACCCAATCAGCAAAAATGTGAACTTGAGGGCTTTGACTTAAGCTTGAGAGGTACGAAACAAAATCAGGCTCGTGCGTTGACTGCTGCAAACCAGGGGCTAGCTTCTCTCCTACCGGCCGTGAAGAGCACCAGGCGGGCAGGCAGGACACATCCCACCCCCGTGGTTCCGCTGCGTGGTTCCGCTGCGCAGCCTCTGCTCTCCCGGGCAGCTGAGAGGCCCATTTCAGACCCAGGTGCTGTTCTAACTAGGTTTTCCACGGGCACCTTCACAAGTGATCTTTGATCCTGAGACTCCGTTTACTAATGCAGTTACAAGACTTAACCCCCCTGGGAGCCAGTGTGTCTCAATTCTTTCAACTTTCTGCAGCCTCTGGTTCTCTCTGGAATGAAGTGGACGTCAATAAACAAGCACGGGGTTCTGGTTCCTCTCCTCCAGCCCGGTTCTCCATGCTTCCCCTCCTACCTGCCCTGCCCAATCAGTCCCCGCAGACCACGCCAACAACTCTAACTGCCTCCACCTGCCGGATGATGACCACCGTCTGCTTCTAGAGCCCTGGCCTGCAATGGCGCAGAGCCTTCATCAGCCCTGCCAGGGGGACTATGGTGCTCCCAAGCTTGGACACGCCTCTCTGGGGGTCCCTCACTGGTCGGCGATAGGTTGCAAGTCTGTCCCACCACACGGTTGAAAAGCAAGGTGCTGCTGCCAGCCGACGCCTTCGAGTGGGCTGACTCACCCACCATGGTCCCCTGGGAACAACAGACTGAGGCACCGCCTTCTGGGAGCCCAGGGTTGCAACCACTGTGCCAATGCGCCGCGTCACCAGGTCAAGGGGGAATAATACATTCAAAGTGCCGAGCTCATCAACTGCCTGCCTCTAAGCGGTTCCACTTGGGTAAAGCATCTCCTATCCTCCACAGTTAGCATCTCCAAGGATCCAGACTTGCCTTTTCCCCCTAGGCTTCCCTCTCCAGGTAATCTCACCCGAGTCCTTCACATCAGTTTAATCCCAAATGCAAGCATTTCCATTTGCCCCCGTGTCCAGGCTGCCCGGTGAGCGGACGCTTGCGTGCAAAGGACACGCAGCACTCAGCCAGAGACAAAGGACCCCAGAGCAGCCACCCAGGAAACCGGGGCTTTTCTCGAGCTAACGGGAGCTCTACCGGCCTCACAGAGGTCGGAAAGGTATAAAACCATGTGGAACTCCACACCGCTCCCAATGCAGCTAAGTAGCCAAGACAGAGCGCATTTTTAACGACTAAAGACTGCACAAGCAAGTCACGCTTGGAGAGACAGAGCAGTGCGCTGTTTGGAGAGAGGGGCACCAGGGGAAGGAGGCAGGGTTGAGTCAGCTGTTACTTTAGAACCTTTCCCAAATCATTCTTCGCTGTTGTATACAAAAGTCTGTCTAGGAACCTAAAATTCACCACTTAATGAAACACAGCCTATAATGAGTTTTCCTTGCTCACTGGAATCTAGTGCAGTCAAGTGCATTCCAGCCCACAGCAGAGGGACTGCCCCATGGAGTGTCCCGGGCTGGAATCGCTCCAGTAGACTGGCACAGCTTTCCTCTGCCGTCACCCTGGGTTTGAACCACCAACCTTACAGCTGGCAGTTGAGTGCTGAACTACTACACCACAAGAGCTCCCTAACCCACCACCACGGAGTCCATTTCCATTCAGAGTGAGCCCACAGTCTTTCGGGACCAGGCAGTCTCCTCTGTGTCCCACGGGGTTGGTGGGTTTGAACTGCAAACTTCTCGGTTCATAATCAATGCTTAACCCCGTTCCATCGAGTCCAACCCTTCATGACTGAGAACAAACTGCGCAGACCCGTGTGTTCCAGTTCCGAAAGTCTGGAATACACTCTGAGCATTTCTGATTTTGAAAAGCACCACAGGTCATTCTCCTGTGTACCAAGACCCAAAGTCCACTTGATAATTTAGATTCCCATTCACTGAGGCCTCTGATCAGACCTGGCTGTAGAAAAGAAAGGGATTTGCTCTTTAACAAGTATGAACATAACATTCTCCTCCCTGGGCATCTCCACTGTGACTGCCCTCCTAGGTCGCGTCACAGCGTCCTTGGTGTTTTCCCTCGCAGCCAGCCCCTCTGCACGCACCGAGCCAGCACTGCGGGGAAGGCCGTGTGGGTGCCGACGCGGCGCTGCCTCGAAGCACGGCCCGGGAACTGCAGCCAGGGCGCCTGTGCTCTCAGCGCCTTCAGCTGCTCCCAACAGGCGCGGCGCAGAGTTATAAACATTTATAAATTTTATTAACAAAACCTTGTACATTCTCTGTAGTACATGTGGAATTTCACATCTAGGTAAAATAGCAACACATTCAAAAGTTACCATTTATACAAACTCTTACAGAGTAACCACCTGTGGGTTGTAAAATAAACCACACTGATTTTTTTATCTACAAAAGATTTGACTTTCTTTAAAATTCCCCCGAACATATAAAAATAAATTAATTTTACTTTCATTTAAATCTACCAATTAGAAATATTACAAACCAAAATATCAATGTTTATCTTAGGAATTTTTCACAATACAAAACAGATTCACAAAACTTTATTTACAGAAATGAGGTAAGAACTGTGCAATGTTTAACCAAGAGACATATTGCAGAATCAGCATGTTCTTCCAGCTCAGTACACAGTGGAGGTCTAAATACAGCTGGGTCTTTCCACTAATGATGCACACAGTTAAGGACAGGTCAACGGTTACACCCCGATTGTGTAATTCATGCTCTTCCAGACTATCACACCAGGAGATTGGCTACCCAAAGTAGGAAGGCTGTAACCCAGGTTTCACCTGTTTGAGTAAGTGTGATAGCGGTAGTGTTTCTTTATTTGTTAGTCATTGGCAGTAGCGGGAAGTTGTATAAATAAAAACGATACTTATTCCTACCAAATCCATTCACTTTTAATGTGACTCATTAGTGGATAAGCAACCAGGTAATAGCTTTGCCTGAGCTATCTCCAGTGGCATAGAAAGTTATGAATAAAGGCCTGCCAATGGGGAAGACTGCTGGTCCAGCCCAGACTATCTGACTGCTTACAAGGACTGACGGCAGCGCAAGCTCAGCTGTCTAGAGCCATGAGCACCCATGAGGTGCTCACAGGCACTGGGTGAAGGCCAAACCCACCACCAACAGTTGCCAGACTGGCCCCTTTTCTGAAAGAAGTCTTTCCCTTCAAATCGATCTGGTTCCCCAGCAGCCTTGGAACTCACTGAAACGCGAGGTTTCCTTAGAGAACGAGTAGGTCAAGGACACACAGAGAACGCAATTAGCAAGAGAAAATTATTTTAGCCGAACCAGACATTACCACCCTGGCTGGATTACCAAAAGTGGCCAAATCTCATTACAAAGGAAATTTCTAAAGACAAAGCTTGCCAAGCCCCACTTGATAATAGATCTGAAATATTTAATCAGTAGAAGCTCAAGTAAAAGGGAAAAAAAAGTCTTGGTCAGTTTCTTGACATTTGCTTTAAGATCAAACTCACAGAGCAAGCATAAACTAACCCAAACAAAAGATCCTGTTTCATGTTCCAATTGGTACAAATCAAATAGTTTGTAAATGGATTAAGTCTCCAGTTTTCCTATGCATGTCTCCAATTTGTAACAAAATTAATTGTGCATCAACTATATAATTTCTCTCAGGTTGATAAAATCATTGTATGTAAATAGTTACACATTGACAAAAATTAGTTACTGAAATTCTTTCAAAGTTCAAAATACCTAGGGGGGGGATAGGGAATTTTACTTCAGTGCAACAAAGCAACAAGAACATTAGTCAAAGCTTACAAGAAGAATGTCCTCTGTTGTGCAGCTTGTTTCTTGTTGCATTTCCTCACAGACGGCAGAGAACTTAGAACAGCAGCCAAGCGAACAGCTAGAACAGCAGGATGAGTACTTTCTAGATGTTTCCCAAGTGTCAACTTTTCTCTTGAGCTACAGGCCCAGCTTTATCACTAAGTCTCTGCAGTTAAAACAAACAACAGATTCATTAGTTAAATCCGTTTCTGGCCGACAGTTGAAACTGTAAATGAGAAAAACAGGTTCATACGCTCCCTCCGTTTGCACGATGTAAAGACAGGAATCCGCTGGTAAACGTTTTAAAACACTACATTCAGCAGTACTCGGACATAAAAGGTGGTGTGCCCATCTGAGGGACAAGATTCATAGAGAATACGTTATAAACATTCTCCACAACTGACTTTTCCAGAAAAATAGTGAGTTAGTTAATTGTGCCAACCTAGCCCATAATCACATGTGGGGCTAACTGAAAGGCGGAGGGATAAATGGGGGGTGAGCCTCGCCTTTCTAGTTCTCGGGTCTCTTGTTTTGTGATGGTTGCACCAGGGTGCAGCTGCCCTAGCAGTTCCCTGCTTCAGCTTGCAAGATTGACTTCCTACAAGAC